AAGCTGAACAAAATATTGGGAAAACTGCTCTCCTTAACAATCTGCTTAGCTGCAAATGAAAACATGCTCTTCTGCCTGTGTAGGAAGACAAAGTATGACAAAGCCTGAATCACACATGAACTTAGGGTTACCAGCCACAAAGAGGAAAGCATTGCCCTAGTTACCTTTTGCAGCTGCACATTTCAGCTTGCAGTCAAATGCAACTTAATATTGGCTTTTTAGGTAAAATACTATTCTTTCTGGAGTGTGGAGTGGCTGTACTTATGAAAGTACTTGTTAACTCTTCTTAACTGTGTCTTGGTTAACAAGACACTGGTAACTTGTCACTTAGGGTACAATTAGGCAGAGAAAGTCTGGATGATGCAATCTCTCTCCTGTGTATTGCTGACTTTTGACTTAGGATTCCTCAGTTGGCTGCAGGGTTATGTTTACAGCTTTCTGTTGGGCTGAATGATTTTATTGTGGGAGATAGGGGAGGAGAAAACTTGTCTTCCACACCTCTTGTTCAGATGATATAATACCATTGCTGTTAGATATTCCTTAGTTGACTCTCAACACCAAAACTTCGTTAACACAAATTTTGATTTCATTGTGTTCGCTTCTGACAGGAGGAAGGTTGGGGCAATGAGAGCAAAGCAGCAACATGAGATCCACCCCTAAATGCACGTGATTCTATCTCATTCCCTGTATCTGGTCATGTAGTCTGTGCTCCCTGAGATCTCCAGAGCCCTACGCTTCAGGTAGCATCTGTAAAAACCACTCCGGTGAGCAGACCAGAAAGTGCTGATTGTTTGTTTTTTTTTTCTTAATTGCTGTTAAGCCTTTCTGGCTTGGCAATGGTTTTGATACTCAAATATGTTGGGATCTTCTGGGAACTGCCTTCTAGTCTGTGCAGCGCTCTGGGCTGTAGTGAGGTTTCAAAGTCATCTAGGAGCATAATGAGATTGGCTTTTTAGTGGTTGTTGTTTGTGGAGTGTCAATGGAGAAACTGTATGTTTTTTCAGTGAGATAAAATCCTTTATTTTTATTTCAGTAGCATCACTAACTCAGCAAATTTTTCCTTTCTTGCAGAATTATAATCCTATTCTTTTTTAATTCAAAAAGTATAGCAGCACAGTAAGTGCATTCCACTCTACTCCACAACCACTTATTTCCTTCAGTAACAGCAAGAAACATATTCTTAGTGTAACACAGTAGCTTAGTTTATTTGGAAATATGTTTAACCTTGCTGAAGAGATTCAGTAGGCCTAGGGGAAGGTACAAGAGAACCATTTGCTGGTAGAATTGGCAAGTAGTACAATAGCACTTCAGCACTTTTGTTTTCTCAGTAGACCAAGATCCTTTCCTGAATATAGCCATGCTTACCAGTTCATAGAGGAAACTGGGTGTCAAATCCACCTTAAATTTTCTTCTTTTTCTGATGACTCGCCTTCTTTCCGGAGTGGTAACAGCCAGGATTTCCAGAAGAGATTTTGGGTGCTTCAGTCAACCGATGTTGCAGACAGTAACAGATATGTGAAAACTAGCTCTGAAACGATGCCAGTTACTTGATGTAGTCACCTAAAGATACTTGTCTGATATTTTCTGCTGATTTTACATATGGGGATTGCATAATGTGCTATGTTCATAGGATCATGGAAGTTAAAGCCCCTCATTGTACTTGGGAATACTCACTGGTTTAGTCTGATTTTTTAAAAAAAAAACAAGGACCAAGATTTTTTACATGCTTAATTCCTTCCTAAGTTTAATTTGTTTAATTACAACCATTATGTTTGAAGTAAGCCATTAGGGCTCTGCTGTGTTCTGGATGAACAACGCTGTAAGCCAGTGTTGAACACAGCTAAGAATCTGATCTCAGAGTCCAAAAAAACCAGGACTTCGCTGCTAAGCAGCATCACTGACCCCATTCTTAAAGGAACTGCTGGTGCACTGCAGGCAAGCTGTTCAAACCCACCCAAATAAAAACAGAACTGAAGCATTTGCTAATTCAAAACAAACTCACACAAAGAAAACCTTTCAGCTGAGCCAAGGTAGAACTTCTGAAAATGAAGTTCACTCTCATTGTCCTCATTTCGGCTGGGATAGAGTTAATTTTCCTCCTAGTGGCTGGTACAGTGCTGTGTTTTGGATTTAGGATGAGAATAATGTGATAACACACTGATGGTTTAGTTGCTAAGCAGTGCTTATACTAAGTCAAGGACTTCTCAGCTTCCCATGCTCTGCCACTGAGGAGGTGCACAAGAAGCTGGGAGGGGGCACAGCCAGGACAGCTGACCCAAACTGGCCAAAGGGACATTCCATACCATGGGACGTCATGCTCAGTGCATAAACTGGGGGGAGTTGGCCAGGGGGCAGTGATCGCTGCCCAGGGAGTGACTGGGCATCAGTCAGCAGGTGGTGAGTGGTTGCATTGCTCGTTTTTCCTGGGTTTTGTTTCTCTCTCTCTTCTTGTTGTTTTCCTTCTTGTTATCATTTTTTATTATTTTATTTCAATCATTAAACTGTTCTTAACCCACAAGTTTCCTTACTTTTGCTCTTGCAATTCTTTCCCCCATACCACTGGGGGGGAGTGAGTGAGCAGCTGTGTGGGGCTTAGTTGCCAACTGGGGTTAAACCATGACACTCATTAATACTGCTGTAGTTCAAGTCCCTTTGGGGCACTGGCTACCCGTGCTAACTGTATATGAATATTACATGTTCACACTTGCTGTGTTTTCTCCTCTTCATTTCAATTAAAGGAGGGGGCCCTGTAGCCTAGTCATGAGTGTTGCATCCCAGAAATGTCTAGCTCCGTTTCCTGTTAATGAAACTTTTTCATACAAACCTACATTCTACCAATTTCACTTTTCTTTCCAAGGGACTATAGATTCTGTGCAGCATGCAGGGATCACCCCAATCGTCAGCACAGCCTGGCTTAGATGCTAATGTGCCTAAGTCACCTCTTGCCTTACAAAAACTGTGTGTGAAGTCTTTCTTCAGGACCCTTTACTTACCAGCATTCACAATACTTGGTTTTAACAGTTCATCCTCCTAAGGCTTTAAGTTTGGTGCTTCACTACAAGGTTTTTCCTAACTTCCATGTGCCTCTGTTAATGGCACTGAACATCTGCCTCTTGTCTTAAGATACTGATAATTCCTGATGTCTTAATTGGGTACCAGCAAATTCAAGAGGCTGTTGAATTTTACAGAAGCCAGTGGGCATTGCTTCCGCTCCAGTGTGTATTCTCCCTTAAAAGCAGTTTTCTCTATAACTCTGTTAATGTACACAGGTGCTATACAGAGTCCAACCCATACCAGATACAGTAGTTATTGACAGCTACAGAGCTTAATGTGCTGTTGTATGTATCAACAAGGAAGCAATAACTATATGTGACTATTCAGCCTTTGGATATGTTTTGTCCTCTTTCCTGTGTCTTTGGTCAAAGTAATTAAAGTGCTTCATGTCTTAGTGGAAACCTTTTGTGGCTTTTTTCCTCCTTGATACTTAAACCTTAAGGAACTTAGTGATGCAAGTTCTTTGTCTCAAGTGAGTCTGCAATACTGAAACAAATGATTCTGGAAATGCAAATGTTTTTCATTGAATCAGTCCGATGCTAGGGATTAGGTTTTATTTGTACAAGAATAGTCTATCTCCTTCAACCTTAATGAGATACTCTCTCTAAAAAATACTACTGTTTATCCTTTTGGGGTAACTGCTGTCAATTTTTTCTCCTTTCCTATAACTGTGGTTCCTTTGTATATAAGTGCACGCTTCACTTAGCTTCACAAAATGGAAGTTCCTCTTGAAAAACTGTATTTTAGGAACTTTTTGCTATCTGTTTGTTATCTCTAAGCCTGAGATTTTCACATTAGATCCATGTACATTTATTTTACTATTTACACCTATCACAGTACATTTATATGGAATACCATCACATGGACAAACCAGCTACTGACAGCTAATATAAAGATATTAGATTCCACAAGGCTTAATCTGCATAGAGACCAGAAACACATTTAATGGTGAAACACAGATAAGTCTTCCTGTATTTCCTGTAATTTTGAACCCATTTTGTGTAGAATGTGATCATCCTACCACAAATACCTACTTCTGTATTTGTATATTTGTCTTGTGGTCAACTTCTCTTGGGTGGCTAGTGTCTTCCTATGCTTGATAGTTTATATTTCCTATGGTCATGAAATATGCAATTAATAGTTGTTTTAAGCATTGTTTAAATATTAGTTAAATTTTTTGTCTTCCACTCTCCTCCCAGCAACCTACCAGTGATACATAATCTTATACTGCATGTAACTTCTAATAGTGGACAAAACTCTCTGGGTGAATATTTCTCTGGCTCCATGTGAGGTGGAGATCTGAAAGAGAAATGACACAGCTTTGGACTACATCATCTATTTGCAGTTTAGTGTAGCTGTGCTTGCTAAAGCTTTACCAGATATTTATTTTCCCTGGTACAAGCAATACTCATTTGACTTCAGTAATTCAGAAATCATATGGGATATAAAAATCTATCTCTACTTGCAGCATCCTTGTCACCGATCCTCATTCTTTAGGAAGAATTGGAAGTGAAACTCCACAGCAAAGTAGTTGAACATCACACTAGTTTGGTAAGTATTTTGTATGCAACATCAGTTATCCTAAAGTTGCTTCATCTATCAGTTGTGCTATATACAGCATTACTTGTGGCCTTTGTTTTGAAAAGTAGTCAAAATAGGGTATTTCGGCAACTTTTGAGTGCTGTTTGTCAAGGGGGAAAAACAAATTCTTACGAAGCGATGGCCTATCAAAATTGCTGTTTTGTACCTCCCTGGATGAAATATACCTGCTTTTTCATTCACTTTTATCACTGGGGTGTTTTTGTTGACTCTACTACAGATCTTTTCTGGTCACTGGACAGCCACTATATAGATTTCTTTTGTTTTTAGGCATGCGTGTTGAGTGATCCATGCAACAGTGAAGAACCTGCCATTGTACATTCCATATTACTGTTGTGCCAGTTGCTCTTGATTCCGTTAGCAGGATGCTGTTAGTTCCCCTCACCCTACAGTTTCCTTCAATGAAAACATTTGAAAAGACAAACATGGTAGAGAGCCCAGAGCTACATGATGTTGCATTGTGTGGCCCCACAACAATCTTTAATAATAGCCAATCCTGCTTTGGCAATGGTGGGCTTGCTTGGAGGAGGTTCTACCTTCTTTTCTGCTGGGCTGCCTGCAATGTTCAAAACAGGACACCATTAAAACCAAGAGCTGGTCAAACTATTTCTTCCTACTTCTGGCTTAAAGAATGCAAGCCTTTCCTGCCCTCTCCCCCCACTCTGACTTCTTTAACTCTTGTTTGAACGATACATCTAACACTTCAAAGTAACCAAGCTGGTATGTGGATTCAAACTAAGGAGCTGAAGAACAAAAATACTGCTAGAGTTTATTCTCTTATCAACTCGGATGTTGTAATTAGGAGAACAAGATAAAGGTAGGTTTTAATTTTTCAGGGTGAAAAGAATCTTGTATCTCTAACATTGCATTTAAAAGCAATGACATGAAGTAAACTAACAAGGAGATGAGTCATGCTCCCTGTGACTAAAAGGGTATAAATAATTAGTGATGCGTCTTAAAATGTCAAACTTGTACTTGAACTTCACAGTCATTCCACATCCCTCTGGAAACTCTTTAGCAAGATCTTTATCTATGCAAAATGGCAGTGTGTTTGGATACAAACCTCTTCAGCTGGTGGACCAAATTAACTTTCTAAGAAGGGTACCGTTCTCACTTGACTGTCTCCCTGCCCAAGAGCTCAGTTTGAGACAGGTCAAAATCAATCTGTTAAATTTTAGAGCTCATGCTGTAACTGTTTTGTTTGAAAGTTGCAGCTAAAAGCTTCCAAGGGATCATGTAATCTGCTTAGTTTCTGAGAAATTAGTGTGTTTGCAGTTCTGTCTGTAAGTGATTTGGGTTGAGGTGATCAAAAAGCCTATTTATGCTGGTAAGATGTAAGAAATTTGGGGCAGCTGTGGAAGTTTGTGGTCTTTTCTCTAGTTTACATCTTGCCTGCAGTAAAAACAGGCAAACTTTGCTTCTGATATCCTAGCATATATCTTAAACAGGGTTGGGTTTTTTTTTGCAGAACCAGATGGGAAAATGATTGGTAAAATTAAATCTAGTTGCTTACAAAAGCAGGTTGTGGCAATTTGAATTCAAATATATTTTGCATATGTAAAACATACAAAGCAATTTTAAAGTGGCCATAGATGACTTGGATTCAGTTTTAAGGTGTAATTAGGCATCTGAACTCTAAGTGGCCAGCAATTGCTGACATGCTATCTTGTTTCAGGGTGACATAGCTAGATTAACCTAGCTTTTGGCAGAGGCTGGCCCAGCATGGCCTTTGAAAATGCTCTTTTATCCAGTTGTCTTTGGAGTTTTTCTGATTTTTTTCTTGTTTTTCTTAATGTTTAAGAACTCACTGGTAGGAGACTGTGTTGCTTTGTCTAAGGGTTTTAACTTGGTGCGAAGGAATTCAGCCATCTCTTTGTCTTCTTCTTTCTCTCTGGTGGAAAAAAGGAAAATAAATCTGTTACAGAAATAATGTTTTCTCTGTAAATGGGACAGTAAAAGCTAGAGTAGCTAGGATCAAATCACTAAAATATTTGCCTAAATGAAAACAGGAACAAACTTCTTGTAGAATTCAGAGACAGAATTTTGCCCAAGGTTCTTTACTTGTCTCTGATAGTGTTGGATTCATTATATTCCCTAGTCAGTGGGTTTAAACCGTAACGTATCACCTATTTTAATCTGGCCTCACGAGTGCTGCACGATGCTTCCTCTACAAAGGAAAGCAGAGGATACATATTGCTGTGATTGTACTGCTTATTTTTAAAGGCCTGCTTAGACAAAAGACTGTTATCTCATGGTCTTCTGCTGTTAGTGTTTACCAAAACCAAGTGTATTTCTCTTTGCCTGAAGATGACAGAAGATGATGATTGTGTTGCTAACCTTGATTGTATCTATTAATGATATTTCCATGCTAGTTTCTTTGCTATTTTTTTATTTAACCATTAACAATAGGCGCACTGATTGAATATCTCAGTTTAGAGGAAAAGCAGACTTCTGAGTTTTGAATCGAGTTTTAAAGAAAAGTTTTGAATCAAGAGTTTTGAAGAAAAGCCTCAGGTTTTACTGCAAATGTGAATTGACACTAATGTATTCACATCTGCATAGTGCATAACAGTACATTTTCAGTAGCCTACAATTAGGCTTCTGTATTGTCTGGTTGCTGATGAGGTTTTTGCAATTTGCACATTGAACTAACAGTTGAGAGCTCTGGATTACTTACTAGCTCAGGCTTCTTGTCAGCTGCTGACTTTGAACAGCTTTCTTTGATCAGCTGCAGGACTCTGGCAAGCTTTCTTCTCTCCTGTCCTTTGCTTGCTTAGAATTTAATTGTGTTGGAAGAGATATTGTCATTTAGGATAAATGGATTGATGAGCCTTGAATCTTTACTGTTGAAAGAGACAGGGGAAATAATAGCAAAACTCTGACTATTTGTAGAGTGTTGGGATCTCAGTGCAAGAGCTGGAAATGAACTTTTGAGAAAGACCACAGGTTTCTCAGCAACTTTGGGCTGAGATGAAGCCATTCTGAACTCGCTTATGCTTTAGGTTAGGTAGACCTGTGTTAGTGATTGCATTCTCTTTTTTCTTTTTTTTTTGCTATGGCAGGGTGAGAATAATAATAAAAAAACCCAACCACATTAATAACTCTTTTTTAAAAAAGGCATATTTTAGATGTCCACAAATATGTTCCTTGTAGAATTCCATTTTACGTCTACTTCTCATGCCAAGAGGATCCTCTGGTAGCAGCAAAAATCCTTTACTACTTAATGGAAAATGCCCAGACGCTTTCTGGTAGGAAAGTAAGAGACCAAACCCTGCTGTAGTCATGAGATGACTGAATCATTAATGGGATAAAGAGCCACAGAAGTGCAGTTTTAATGTTTTTCCTATGGAACCGGGAGGAGGCTTTTAACTTCGTAAGTTGTTTTAAAGGACCAATTCTCTCCCATTAATGTTGATGTAAATTTTGTCACTTACTCCAGTGTAGTATTAGACTTGTGAAATCTCACAAATAGGTTCAGTTGCTTTTAGTTCTTACCGTAATCTCTCCACCTCTGCATCATCTACAAGAAAATCTCTTTTTTGTACCAGTCTATGGATCTTCTGAATCAGTTCATCCTCTCTTTGTTTGTCCATCTTTGTTTTTTCTTTTTCTGGTCAAAAACAGAGAAAAGACTATTACTTTGGATTCTAGGGAGCAGGGTGGAGGGGTGAACATTGCAGATGTCTAAGAATGATTTGCTGGTTGAAGTCAATGGTTCTTCAGACCTGAGTCACCAAAACCCCAGCAAGTTCTGGGTACTGCCTCTTTTCTCTCTTACGCTTGCTGCTGTTGTGTCTGATCAGCTTAATGGTCTGGAGACTCTGTGGGGCTTGCCAAGCCTACTTTTAATAATAATTTGCTCTGCAAGACACTGCTTTGACTTTTAAAGAACTTTGGTAAGAAAACAGTCCAGGATGCTTCATTAAAACCCATGGTACAAACTCCCTTTGACCTCAGGGGAAATGAGACCACACCAAAAGGAACCATTTCTCTGTATTTCATGACAGCTTTGGCTGTTGACGACAACGCTTTTTTCTACTCTGGTAAGGCAGGTGAGCTGCAAATCCACACAAATAGCATCAATTGTAAAATGCAGAAAAATAAATGAAAGTGTTTATTTTCCCTGTGCTTCAAAAATCTGAGTAATTAATATATGTCCTTGTTAATTGGCCAGTCTGTAATGACTAGGTTGTCTACAAATAACCATTTTTGTGACATGAAAGATGTGCCTGTCACAAAGTAAAACTCATGAATGTTAGGGATTACAGAGCTGTAGTTTAAGGTTATAAAGCAAATGTAGTTAAGAGAAATCTTCAAACCTAGCAAATGAAGCAGAGATGAGAAAGTCAGAGGCAAATCCCAGCCCACATTTCCTCAAGAAGCTGAAAATTTTTATTAGCTGAGAAGACACTTTGCATTAAATCAAGAATCTTGGGTTTGAGCAGTAGAACTGCATTTAGAGAACCATAAAATTCAGTATAATAAGAGTTGTGGGAGGAAGGGCAAGCTGCCTGCAGTCTGATGCATCTGAGCTATGTTATGTGTGCTGATTGAACTTACAAGATATTTTAAACAGCTAAATAATTCAGACACTTGAAAATAATTGTTTAATACAGCTTAATTTTGGATCGTGGGCTTCAGGATGCTTACTGCTGGGAATTTCTGCAATAAATCCATTCCTTAGTAAGTGAGATAAAAACACCTTGAACATATTTTTCAAGACAATGAAATTCTGTAAGTCTTACTCTCAGAAAGTCATACTCCTTGGAGAATTTTAAGTTACGGTCTGCCAGTAGCAGAGGAAATAATTTGTAATATAACATAAGGCTGCTTTGTCTGGGATGTATTTTCTGTGTTTTATCTTTTAGAAATGATAAAGGAAGATGGTTATTGACTGCTCTGAAGACTTCAAAACCTCTACATTGTTACCTATGATGAATTCCTGTGATTAATTCTGAATTTGCAGCAGAGAAAAAAAAAAAAGAATGCCTAGAAGTCACTGCTTTTTCTTGCTTTGCCTCTTATGTCTATGGAGCAAGGGCTCTCTTCCTTTCACTACTGAAGGTAGAAGCTACTTTATACTTCCTTTCAATCTATCCACCTCCCAGACTGAGATGTGCTCTCCCATGATATCCTTCAGGAAACTGCCTGCCAAATATATGCATCCTGAATTGTGGCAAAGTACTGCATAATCTGTGTACTAAAAGACTGATCCCATGTCTACTGAAATTGGCTAAACTGCCTACTGAAACCAAAGAGCAGGTCTCTATACAAATCTGTAAACTAACAGGAAAATTATGATAAAGATGTTATGGAAGTGTTTTTCTAGGTTAGGCACATGCTGTGTCAGCACTTAGTTCTGTGTGAATGCCAGCAGCTTCTTTGTCTTCATTAAGACAAAAGTGTTTTTGTTGTGAGTGTCCCAAAAGGTGGTGTGGCTGGAACTGAGCACACTTAATTCGTAAGTTTGCTGCGATTTGCTAAGTGCTAAGGAGAAACTGCTGTCTGTGGATCTCTGCTTAAGACTTTGACTGGAAAATAGTTTCTAAAAGGTTTAAAAAAAAAAAAAAGCCCACCAAAAAAAAGAAAACCAATCAACCCTAACTGTAAGTTAAAAGTAAGGGTAGGAAAGCTGCAGACTAGAAGAGGCGAGGCAAGGAGAATAATTCATAGATATTTTCTAGGATTCATAATCCTTTCCAATACCATTTAAATGTACCAACAGTTATTAGAAATTAAAAATGGACCTATAAGTAACTAAAATACAAAGAAAAAGTAAGAAAAATTATGAATCCACTTTTGGGTGCAAAGAAAAGTGGAAAAGTTCTTACACAACTAAGAATGTCTGGCCTCAGAGTAGACCCCTGTTTCCTATTTCATGAGTGACCTTCTCTCTCCTTTCTGGGGGAAAAAGTTGTCCTTCAAAGTTGCACAATAAAATGGGGGGGGGGGAATGAGAATAACTAACGGAGAGTCAAAATTTGTCCTTAATAGTTAGGCAGCAGCAAACTATTTCTGAAGGGTGCTAGAGGCCATGCAGTAATATTTAGTGTAAATGGCCCACTGCAGTTGCTGAGTGTTTTGCAGGATCTGTCTGTACTTTTTTTCTTGAATGGAGTAGGCTGTTGTGGATGATCTAAAACAGCGAAGCTGTAGTGAAGCAAAATTCTTCCTTGATTTCAGCTACAGTTTGGAGTTAAGGACTGCAAAACTGCCCACAACTCTGTCCCTCCTTAGAGCACTGAATCTGCAGAGAATTAAGGCAAAACACAAAGCAGACTTTCCCCTTGCTTTTTGTAGAAACCTGTTTTACTTTATTCTAGGAGGTAGATTTAACTACAGGTGTGACAGATTTAACTACAGGTGTGACAATGAATTGGTATATCTGGGGAAAAAAAAAAACCACATTCACAGTGATGATTATAAATCCCTCTCCTTCCTCCCTTTTATCTCAGGTATCTTGGCATGCTGTCTTTTCTACCTGACAATCTCTGCCACTTGGTTCCCTTGAGACTGCCAAGGGAGTGCAAGAACTAAGGAATGTGCACTTTGAGTGATATTTGTAGGGTTGCTGCCAAGGGAGCAGTGAAATACAGCATGAAAAGAAATTTAGAGACCAGGAGATTAAAGATGGGAAGAAAAATGGGGGGGAAAAAAATGACTAGAGGAAAGAGACGTGAAACTCAACCTTGGGGGGAGATTTCTGATTGTTAGGGGCAGAGGTATGTTCCTGATACCATCCCCACCTGTGCATCACCCAAGCATTATCCTAATACTGGGTTGGAGATAGCCATTACCTGGGACTGCTACCAAAGTCTGCAGCTCTTTCTTAAGGTTCATAATGTCTTTGCACAGCTGGATGTCATCCATCCTGCAGAAACAGAAAAAGCGTGGTCAAAGACATGCAAACTCCATCCTGTGTTGATGGGATCAGCCAGATCTCATCTGAATATACGATACTGTCCCTTGCCTGGGACCTGTGCATCAGCTTGAAATGCAGAGGTTTAATCTTGGGATACTGATACTGTTCATTCACCAATTTTAACAGATAGCAAAAGGTATTTAATACTAAATGCCTGTTGATCCCTTGATTACTTGTCTTACTGGGATCTAATTTGTGTGTAGGTCCTATCTGTCACTGCAGATTATTTCAGATGCCTTTTGCTTTCTTGAATGTCACCGAATGTTCTGGAACAGGCATCTGTATATTTAATAGTCATGAAAAAGACGGGTGTGCCATACTGCACATACTGCAGCAACAGTTTTCACTAGGGAAAAGAGCAAGGGTGAGAATAACAGGGAGCCTGGGAAGGGGCAAAAGAAGCCAATATGTTATTTGGCACAGCCAAGACAAGGTTTATATTCTACTACCAACTTTCTTTGTGACCTTACTAATAACTTAGCTCTGATACCAAAGATCTGGAAAGTGTCGTAATTTGGCACCTAACTACTCTGAGGTCTTGTGACTTGGGTGAATGTCTTCCATCGTTGATGTGAGTGCTTCACATCCCTGATGTGTGCAGAAAGTCCATTAATGTTAAGACCCAGAAGACAGATTAAAAAAAAAAAAATCTGTTTCTGCACCTTCAGTTCTTATTGAAACTGATACCTATCCTGAGAGCTGCTATACTGAATTATTCCCCTGGAAGCTAGCAAGCTTCAGTGCTGGCTTCCTAGCAAATGTTTTCTTTGTCTCAGCCATATTGGCAGCCAAGGCTCAGGTGTTGGTTCTGAGGGCTGCATCAGGGGCTCCCATTTTGAAATCACGCCCTGAAGAATACAAAAAACACCCTTTGTGATTAATTGTGCATTCTTTAACTTGGATGTTACCAATACTATCCCTGTCCACAGATCTCTGAGTCCTTGTTTCATAGTCCTGTGCCTGAAGGGCAGATTGCATGTTGCCTAAGCACCTGAAGGTAGCTGAAGTGCTATTAGAACATGGGTTGTCACAGTGGTATTTCAAGAGAGGAAACCCAAGAGATTAGAGTGTGTGTGTGTATGCGAGAGCGAGCACACCAAGGATAATGCAGTCAAATTATTGAACTAAGTGAGGAGTGGAAAAAGTAGGTGTTTCTGGCACAAATAAGATTTTAATCACAACCCAAGAGCCTTTATTCTCCCTGCTGCCTCTGCATGGAACACAGGTCTCTGCAGGGAGCTGCCCTGCTGCTGCTTTGCTCATGTTATTAAAACATGTTGATCCTTTTATTATTTGCTGCTTTGGTTAACTCCATCTTGCCTCCTGCTGTCTTTTTCCTTCTCTTCCCCATATATGACAGTGAAATACCTCTGATAATAATCTCTATTGCTGACCTCTTTTCCTTGTTTAGGTGCCACTGTCACCTCTGCTGGGGATCTGCTCTCCTGCCATACATCGGTCTTGTAAGACTTACTTTTATTGGGAAGATCAGCATGCTAGCCTCAGGGCTAGTCCATAGCTCACTTCTGTATGTTTAGGACACTTGGAGGCAGAGATGTTTATACTGATGATTATTCTTACTTGGGCTCCCCATATTATTCATGCTGATCACAAGCAAAGCCTGTTTTACTCTTGAGAGCCATCATGCTAAATGGTACTGAAATTACTTTTATCAATTAACAATCTTAAACATTGTCCCCTCAGGAGAATCAACATTCAAAATGTGCTGGGATGTGAGCAAGCCTCACAGCTCCTTATCCATTCAATGTTCTTGCAGTATGGGTGTCATATTAATATGATGAGTATTAATATATTTGAGAAAAATGACCATGGTTAATGAAGATGACAGTTTCTTGGTGAGAAACGTTCAATATTGAACTGCTGTATTCAAATGATATCTAAGGGCCAGACCCTCAACTAGTGAAGCGAACAGTGAGTTTCTACAAAAGAGATCTCCGTGACGTACAGAGAGAGGATATTTCTTTTTTTCTGTATTGGGTAGATTGGGCTTCCTTCTGGGAAGATTTGAGAGATACTAATTAAAAAAACTCACTGTATCAGTTTGGCTCCTTGTCTTCCTCAAGGAACTCTTAAAAGCTAATGTCACTGCTCTTCTCTCAGGATTTTCAGGAATTTAAAATATCATTGGCAGTATGTTCCAAGTGAGCAAGATCATCAATGTTCAGTAGTCCCTACAGCCCCTATACTCAATTCATGGCAAAGGTACTGGCCTCATATTGCAACTGTAGTTGCAATTCCTCCCATTGTTTTGGCTCTCTTCTAATGTGACTGCAGAGCATTTAGCTAGCACTTCCCATATATATTCTTAGCAAGTCTCTTCCTGAGACCTAAGTTTAGTTCTTGCCTTGTAACTCACAGGAGAGAAGTAAATACTTCTCTGTGGCCAAGCACTTAAGGGCTGTAACAGCTCTGTGACAATCTGAATTCCAAAAGTTGTAAACCAGATGACCTCTCTGAAGTCCTAGCTCTGTAGGCTAGTGTGTTTTGATGATGGACAAAGACTAAACCTACCATCTGTACCAATCCCCTTAAGCATATGGAACATCTTTCCTCCCATCTGTGTCAAACAGCCTTTGTGTTTCATCTACTCCATGGTGCTGATTAGGAAAAAAATAAAAAATAAAAAGATACAGTTAAATGACTAAAGGAGGGCTATGGGACATACTAATAAAAACCTTGTGAAGGCTTCATCCATCTGACTTAATGAAAGCAGTAGCTATAGTTGCTTGTAACTATAAAGCACGTCACACATCTGGTAGCAAATAATACTGAATGTAGGGCTACAATTGCAGTCCTGGGCAAGAGTCACCTCACTGCCCTCAAAGAAAAGGGAAGAGGAGGAACTCCTAGGAAAGAAAGCTCTTGGAAGGCCATTCAATCTGTACTGGTACTATGAACCACCTTCTCTTTTCCCCGTTATGCTCTGGTTCTTGGATGTGAGCAGTTACAGGAGGCCCAGGAGAAGTTAATGCTGCTTCTGAAAATCAAATCTCAGTGGATTTCTTATCTGAAAGCTGGATAGTCAGCAGGGTTTGACTGAGACCATATTTGTATTACTGTCAGACCTCTTTAGGAAGTAAAAAGAGCTTTCACGAATCTTAAAGAGAGCAGGAATCTGCAGACTACCGAAAACAAAACTCCTTTGGGTCCCCTAACCTTCTACAGAGAAGCTTGAGAAACATGCTGAGCCTAATTCTGCAGCACTTTCTTTCCTATGTTATAAATCAAATCTATTGGAGTGCAAGATGGGCAAGAGGAAAACTTACACAGACTATTGTCCAGCTTATTTAAGAGCACTGTTATGTTCCCTGTGCACCTGGTGCTTTTCCTGAAGGAGAGCAGCACAGTCAGGTTGTTGGTCTGTGCAGAATGCAATGGCTTTTACCCTATAGATACAGCATGGCTTAGGGTACTGAAATGACACCCTCCAGGCCTGTTTAAGTTATCTGCAAAGCTGCTCAAGACATTTGCATAAAATTTGCAATATACAACCAACCTTTGACAAACTCTCTGTTCTCTGTAATAGATTGTACATTCTTTCCAGTCCCTGTGAAATTGTTTTTGATGTTGTAGAAAAAACACCAGTAAAGCAAACAGCAGTTACAGCATGTCAGTTTTTCCCCCAGAGCTGAGCTTTAAATGTCTGCCCAGCAATCTTAAACACAAGTTATGAGTATGCTAAAACATTTCTCTTATTAAGAGTCCAAATCCATTCCTGGAGTAATTGCAATAGTATTGAACTAGGGATGAATTCTCAGTGTGCTTTCATGTATTCCTGACACACTGCAATTCTGCTTTTCTGTTTCTTGATGGCTTATTGCAAGAAACCCTCTGTATGTTTGGAGATATCACATAAGCATGTATTGTTCTTTTCTCTCTTGGTATTTCAAGCTGTATCATCAAAACCTAAAAGTAGACTCTCTGTTTGCCCCCCAAAAATATAAAATAGCTCATAATGAATAAACAGCATGAGCAAAAGATTTTCTAAACGTGTCACAAACTGACAGGAAAATAAGTGGGTCGGAAGAGTCTGCAGCAATCTGGCACAGTGACTCAGCCCCAATATGTGTTTCTGTGGTCCAGTTACCAGGAGAAGAATGCTCTGAGTGCTGTCGTTCCCATAAGATCTACAAGTGAGGTGACAGCATGAGTCACCTCTGCCTTGCACCATCTGGTCTGAGGGGGAGCAGGGCAAGGAAACAGAGAGCAGACCTCCCATTCAGCTGTGCCCTGGCAGGTCTTGGAGGCTGTGGAAGATAATGGTAGGCAGGACTTAAAAATGAAACATTCTGTACTGGACACAGAAGAAGTGTTTTGTTTTGTTTCAATAGAAATTATTCCATAACAACTAGATTTTTCTGTCTTCCTTTCAGCTGAGGAAGAAAACCAAATTCCCTAGTGTAAGACCTAGGTACCATCTAGAGCCATGGATGGGAAAAAAGCAAAAATGACAGTAAAAGGCAGTAGGAAAATCACTAAATACTCACCTTAACCGTCAGCCAAAGAAAAAGAGATGGCCAACAAGTTTGTTGAATGCTTAAGATTTGAGAGTAAGAATTATTAATAACAGCTACATAAGCATCAAATATCTTCTTCACTGATTTCAGGACGAGCAGAGCAGTTCAGTGTGTCTACAGAGCTGCTGCCTTTGCCGAATGACTTTCAAAGCTAGAAATAGATCTGTGTTCCCTCTAGCATATCTGTAAGAGGAGGTCTGATATTCTTTTGTTTTCTGTTATTGCATTAAAGTGCTTGAAGTTAAAAAATGAATGTAGAGTGGTTTTGCTGGTTTCCTTCCCTCTCTTCCAAGAGGGTTTGCAGGCACTTAGGTTATTTTTAGTTCTGTTTTAATATATTCCTGTCCCAGAAGTAAAATGCTTGTAATTGTTAGAGTTTCTGAAGACTTTGATAGTGCCAGTCTAGGAGAT